CGAAAAACGGGCCCCGTCGCTATAGTCCACGCCCCCTTGATCCACGTTTGCGATCGCCTGCAAGCGGCAAGCGCCCTTGCCCGCGCTCGGCGTTCCAACCCCCCTCTCCCCCTGGCTGTTGGCCGGGGCGGCGGGGCCGGACAGGTGGTTTGCTGCAAATTCCGTATTAGTCGTCCCCTGCAGTCCGCTTTTTGAGGCGCCTTTTTTGGAACTGGCGGGGTCCGGTTTATCAGGGCGCTTTCTTTGGATTGGAGCTTACGTAGGGGGTCCGGTTTATGAAGGCGCCCCGTCGAAGAGGAGGGTGCGGAATGGTAGGTCGCATGTGGAGGGGGGTCAAGTTTTTTGGGGGGCCGATTAGTAAGGGATTTGGAGTACAGTGGAACATACATGTTCGAGCCGCCCTGGGTGGCCACTGTAGCGTTTCACACGCGGCCAGGTTGTCTCCGGCGTGCTTCCTGCAGGCCTCAAGGCCGCCATAAGACGGCTCCAGATGGCAGCGGAGCCTCCCAGGCATGCGATCCCACCAGCCCTTGAGGTCGTGAGTATTTAGGGCGATTCCTCTTCCAACATCCTTCTTCCCCGTCGGGTAGGGGGAGGGGTACCCCTCGGCCTCCCCCCTCCCCCCGGGATGTAGACATGGGGGGACCGCGGGTCGTCAGAGCGTCCAAGACGGCCTCAACGAGCAGGCAAAAATCACAGATTTGTCATCAGACTTGGGGCCCATGTCAGCGTCCTTAATGAATGATCCCCCCTTCTTTGATCGATCATTTCCGAGATGGCCCCAAGACGGCCAGAAAAGGTTTCAAGAGAGCCCGAATACTCAACCAGAGGCCCCTAAGACGCCCCAAGAGGCGCCACGGAGGCACCCAAAACGCTCCGAGAAGCCCCCCAAAAGCTGTCAAAAGGCCCCCAAGACGCCCCAAGAGGCCTCAAAGAGCGAAGCCCCAAGAGATCCAAGCGGGCATCCACGGGGCCTCCGGCCCGCACAGGCTCCCCGAGGTCTCCAAACGATTCCATGCTCCCCAGTTCGGGGCAGCTCCGCTGGGCCTCGTGTCTTCAGGGGATGGTGGGGGTACGCGAGGCGCTCAACACTTTGAAGACCACGGCTGCCGCGGTCTCGCCTTGCCCCATCCGATGGCCCGTGAGGCCACCTCATATTGCCATCCGATTGTCCCAAGTAGCTCCAAGCGTACTCCAGATTTCGTAATAAAAGGAAGGGGGTCTCAACCCTCCCAGACGAGAAGTTTTAGACCCCCCCCCCGTGGGAGAACCCTCCAAAACATCGTCCCCAGACCCCCCCAGGCCCTCCAAGATAGCCTGGAAGAGACCCCCCCCGAAGTGAGACCCCCTCCCTTTTGTTACGAAATCTGGAGTAACCCAGATGGGCTCCCAAGCAGACGCGAAGGCCCCCAGGAGCGCACGAGGAGGAGCGCCTCCTCGTAAGGGCTCTCGAAGACACCCAGAGGGCCCAAAGGCTGGCACGAGCGCGGGGACCACTGGGTGGCAGGCCCCAAGTAGGGGGAAAACAGACCTACCTCGCGTTTGACCACCCTCGCTTCCAAGCGATACCAAGCGATGCCAGACTACGGCCTGTACTGTGTCAGGCCGCTTGACGAGGAGGCGCGTGGTATGGCTTGGTTTTGCCTGGAGGCGAAAGCGGGGGTAGGTAATTCACGCTCTGACCAAGGTGGTCCCACAATAACTCCAGACGAGCCCAAGATAGTGCCAGGGTGGCCCTAGGTGATCCGAAGACCTCCAACAGCGACCCAGGAGCGCCCCGAGAGTGCTCCACGAGGGAGGCCCAGGACGGCCCAAGACTGGCAGACGAGCGAGAAGCAGTGGGCGACAGGCCCCCACATGGCTCCAACAAGAAACCCCAAGGCGACCCAAGATCCACGGCAACTCCGGAGAGACTAAAGATCAGTCAACAAATGGCTGTTTCTAACGGCGGTCATTTCATCGCTTCGTCACACGAGGTCTCCCAGACAAGACCAAGAGCCCCTAATAGGGGCCTAAAGGCGGATATCAATGTGTGGCATGCCTCAATATGGAGCCCAAAGGTAGCCCCAAGGCGGCCTTCCAGCGTAAAGTACCCACCCCAAGAAATTTCTGAGAGGCCCCCAACAAGCCTCCGGAAGCCTTCCGACGACTCCCTGGAATTCGGTTGTCTCCAGATGGCAATAACGGGTGTGATCGGAGGGCGGGGAACGTCGCGCTGATCACGTCACGCAAGAGCGCGGCAGCATGCCCGCGAGCACCGCGCAATGCATGCGGACGCCACAATAGCCTGCGATGCGATCGCAACGAAATGCTTGAAATTGCCGAGCTGTCTGTGTGCCGCAATGCTTGAGAGCCACGCGAAGGCTTGCGAACACGGGTAATGAGTCTGTGGGGACAGCGGCCCGCAAACGAGGCCACGTGCCTGCGAGCACCACAGTGCGCTTGCGCCTGGGAACGCCTAGGAATGCGCGAATACAGCTAGCATTAGCATCCATGGAAAGACCTGATAGGAAAAGGGTCCGCGCAGCGTCGGGGCTGATGGTAGCCACGCACGCCGGACGTTGCGCTTGCGCGCACCCCCTCAAAAACAAAAACGCGAAAAACGCGTACACCGCAACGCGCGCGCGCACGCCACAGATCATGATGTAATTGCATATGTATGCACCATTGTGCTGGCGCGTAACACTGCCTGTTTACACCACAGCGCAGGCAGCTGCGAACGGCACGCCAATGAATGCCCCTGCGCTGAACAACACAGCAACATGCGTCACGGAAAACACCACCAACGCGCGAGCGCCATGCTAACTCGCGAATGCCACAGCATGCCTGTGAACACCACAGCATGCCTATGAGCACCACCGAAGCCTGTGAACGCCACATGATGTCCGTGGTCGCCACGGGACGACCGCCATGACATGATCTGAAGGGGGAGTGCGACTGGTCACGTCCGTTATCGCCCAGGTCGAGTAGCAAGTCCATATGTGTATATATATATATATATATATAAGAAAAACTCCTACCTAATGCCTCGACGCCCCATGAAAGGGGCTCCGCATAAAATGAACGTCTCATTTGTCTCCCATGATGAATCCCTCCAGCCCTTTGGGCGTAGGTGGTCTGACGAGAATCTCCTTCCCTCTCCCGAAAGCCCTCTTCCCTTCAGGGAGGGGCCCACCCCACCCCACTCCCTGAAGTGTTTTGAAAGTCACGCTTGAAAGTCGCGATGTGTCGCGTTTCTTTTTCGCCCAATTCCCGAAGGTGGCCACGAAGATGGCTCGAAATGGCCGAAGATGGGCCAAGATGGCTTCGGACATGCCTCCAAAACGCTCCAAGAGGACCACATGACGGCTGCAAGTGCTCTCGGCGCCCCCTCCGGACTCCCCCAAAAAATCAAAACCCATGCGAAACCGCGCGAAAATCAATGATTGCTGCAGTTCCGCATTTCGTCCGCCTCCGATGCGGCTTTCAAGCCGCAAGATGGACCAACAATGCCACAAGAGAGCCCCAAACGGGGCCCAAGAGGCGCCCAAGAGAGCCCCAAAACCGCCCAGGAGCGTCCCAAGGGCGCCCCAAAACGCAAAGCTGATGGCCCAGGAGGAAGCAATTCGCCCCCCCCCCCCCCACACCCCCTCTTTTGATCGACGCCCTCCAAAATGGCCCCAAGAGGCCCTCCAAGGCTCCCACGAGGCCCCCAAGAGAGCCCCAAGAGAGCCCGAAGACCGCCCAACAGGTCCCCAAGAGGGCTCCAAGACGCTCCGGAATCTTGCCCAAGTAGGAGACTTACAGACAGTCAACTAACTTGGTACGGTCTGAAAAGTCGGCCCGGAGATGTAGATCGCACGAAGATGTCAGACTAGTAGTCCAGCCAGGCCAGGGGCCGTCGCCGCATCCAGCCTGGGGAAGCTGGGTTTGGTGGCAGGTCGCGGGCGATGGGCCCGCAACGTGAGGCGCCAGGAAACGCAGACAGGGGCCCCCGCAGACGGTGGTGCCAGTCCCCTTCCGGGTGTGTCACCGTCGCCTCGAGCGTCGGATCCAAGCACGGATCCGCTACGGATCCTATACGGATCCGAAGCTTCTCGGACGGATCCTATGCGAATTCGATGGGTTTTGGACGGAGCCGACTGCGGAGAAAATCGCGTGTTTCGCACGGATCCTGTCTGACCGCGTATACTATCAATTAAGAGCGAGCTTCCATCGAATCCGAAGACGACTTACCCAGGGCACGGGGCTAGGCGCCTTCTAAGATTTTATGGAGGCTCTCCTGCTAGAACGTTCCTCAGGCGGCTCCTGCTACCATTTGACTCAGCTGCTCCTCTGGGTTCCGACGTTTGGACCGTCGCGCCTCCTGATCACTGGACCTCGCCGTCGCCGGCGTCGTCGTCGTCGTCCTCGCCGCCGCAAACGCCGACGCCGCCGTCGTCGTCGTCGTCGTCGTCGTCGTCGTCGTCGTCGTCGTCGTCGTCGTCGTCGTCGTCGTCGTCGTCGTCGTCGTCGTCTTCGCCGCCGCCGCCGCCCCGCTCGTGGTCTGTCGCGTTCGTCGTCGTCGCCCTCACCTCTGCCGAGCCCGTGGGAGCTCCCGAGCGCACCTGGGCGCGCTCGCGCCCGTGCGCCGTCTGGAGGTTCCGTCACGCGTCCAATGCAGGCAAAGCGTAGCAACCTGCACCTGACGGTTTGAGCCGTCGTCCTCCTCCTCTTCCTTCTCCACCTCCTCGTCCTCGTTTTCGTCCTCTTCCCGTCCTCCTCCTCCTCCTCCTCTTCCTCCTCATCCTCCTCCTCCTCCTCCTCCTCCTCCTCCTCCTCCTCCTCCTCCCCCTCTTCATCCTGTGTCTGATCGGGCTGATTCAAACTGTGTTCCACTGCATGCTTCTACACTGTCCTGATCACTGCAACTGACCTGGGCATGGTTTCTGGATGGGCTGGAGGGGATACGCAAACAGTTACGAATTACAAGCTTAGTATGGCTTCGGGCTGCGATGTTGACACTTGGGAGGGGACGTGTTCTGTCCATGTTTGCCCTCTACCCAGCGTCTGGTTCTCCCACGACAGTTTGGTGAACTTGCCACCACTAAACAACTTCCCAATCGTTTCGAGCACGCGAGCAAATGTCAACGGTGATGCAATACGGGCCGGCGGAATGCGCAAAGCGTTCGAATTCTCTCACGAGTCCTTGTTGAGGAAGATGTGCCAGATGAGGGACCAGCACTCGAATGCCACCCTCTGTACCCCTGCACCGCGGCTTCAGCACGAGCACCAGAAAATGTAAACAGCGCTCACAGAAGTCATGGAGCGGCCAAGCTTCTCTTGCAAACATGTATTCTAAAAATGTTCACTTGCCCGGCCCTGACAGCACGAGGTCCCTTTTGCAACGACGCGAAGCGGGCGCCCTCCCATTCGCGGGTACAGGGCTACGTACCACAACGCCTTCGCTGACCGTGCAGCACATGCAATTGCATCACGAACAAGACGTACAATGGATCTGCTCTGCTCGCAGAGAAATGTCCACAGACATGCCCGAATTGCCCCAATATTTGGACGCTCGAAAAGGGGACGGAAAAAATGGTACGAAGCCCAACGGCACACAATGTCCTAAACTGTCAGTGGCAGCTGTTGAGCAGACGACTTCCTGCCTCAGACGGATGAACGTCCGCGGCGACACCGACAGCGAGCCCTGTTCAAATTGGATCGGGTCTGCTGTGGGTCTTTCGGGGGCGCGCAAACATGGATTAGCGATCCATGGACTTGGATCGCGGTCGCCAAATCTATGGATCGGGGGAGGTGCCCTCTCCAAAATGCGGCCGGTGACGCCTCGCTCGGCGGCGGAAATCCGCGATTTCTCATGGAAACGAGACCTGTCGAAAATCCACACCCCCTTTGATCCACGTTTGCGATCGCCTGAGTCTTCGTCACCATTCTTTGCGTACCAAGCTCGATCTCCCAGACTATCGCAGCTCGTCTGCAAACTCGCAGTCCAGAGCCCGGCGCTACAGGCTGAAGCTGCGACGGCCGCCACGAACAGAAACAGGCCGCGATGCAGCGTTGCCGCCAGAGCCTACAGCAGCCGGCGAACGCGGCTGTCGCGCTGCACAGTCTGGGCGAGCAGCTCGTCGATGCACCGACAGGCCTCGTCGCACCCGCTGTCGCTCGAGGAGTCGTCGTCGTCGGTGTCCTGGTGGCCCGGTCGCTCTGCCTGCGACGCCTGGGCCCTCCCCTTGCCCGCGAAGCTGCCCAAGTCTGCCTCGAGTTAGGTCGGGCATGTCCCCCCTTACAGGCGGATCTTGAGAGAAAACTGAAAATCAGCCCACAGTCAGAAAAGAGTGGAAAAATTGTCCCCGCACTAACCCCAGGAAGCATTTAAGAACCCCCCCCCCTCCGGCAAATCGATAACCCTTCCGCACCATCATCCATATCCGCATCATCATCATCATCATCATCATCATCATCATCATCATCATCATCATCATCATCATCATCATCATCATCATCATCATCATCATCATCATCATCATCATCATCATCATCATCATCATCATCATCATTATCATCATCATCATCACGTCCGGGTGCTACAGCTATCGTTCGGTTATTTCGGCCCTTCGGAATATCGAATAAAAAATGCGATGCTACGATATCGCCGGGGGGGTTCTTAAATGCTTCCTGGGGTTAGTTCTGGACTATTTTTGAGCCTTCCCCCTGCAGAGGGACACGCCCGACGCAAGTCTGCCTTGAGGAGTCGCCCCGCCGACGCCCCAAGCAGCCAGACGGGCGGCCTCGCGCCGCCGCCGCCGCCCGCGGGCGACGAGGAGTCGCGGGACTCCACGGGCAGGCCGGCGACCAGGTCGCCGCTCTGCGCCGGGGCCGCCTCCTTCTGATGAGCCTGTCTTCCACCACCACCACCACCACCAGAAGTGGGAGGTGGGAAGGGGGAGGAGGGGGCGAGGAGGAGGACGGAGAGGAGGAGGAGGAGGAGGAGGAGGAGGAGGAGGAGGAGGAGGAGGAGGAGGAGGAGAGAGGAGGAGGGAGGAGGTGGGGGCGTAAGAGGACCACCCCCTCCAATTTCTGCTGGTGGTGGTGGTAGGTGGTGGTGGTTGGTGGTTGGTGGTGGTTGGTGGTGTTCCTGGATGGTGGTGAGAGGTTGGTGGATGGTGGAAGGTGGCGGTGGAGGTTGGTGGTTGTGGGGGTTTTGGGTGGATGGGTATGGTTGGTTAGGTGGGTGGCTTAGTGGTAGGTTTGGTGTGGGTTGTTGGGGTTTTGTTGCTGTGGTGGTGGTGATTGGTAGTGTTTTGGGTGTTTGAGTTGGGTTGGTGGTGGGTGGTGGGGTGGTGGTGGTGGTGGTTGGTGGTGGTTTTTTGTAGTTGTTGAGTTTGGGTGGGTTTGGTGGTGGTGGTTTTTGGTCGGTGGGGGTGGCGGTGGCTGGGTAGGTGATTGGGGTGGTGGTGGTGGTGTGTGGTTCGGTGGTGGTGGTGGTGGGTGGTGGTGGTGGTGGTGGTGGTGGTGGTGGTGGTTGGTGGCTGGTGGTGGTGGTGGGAGGTGGAGCTGGTGGTGGTGGTGGTGGTGGTGGTGGGGTATGGTGGTGGTGGTGGTGGGGATGGTGGTGGTGGTGGAGGTGGTGGATGGATTGGTGGTGGTGGTGGTGGTGGTTGTTGGTGGTGGTGGTGGTGGTGGTGGTGGTGTGGTGGTGGTGGTAGGTGGTTGGTGGTGTGGTGGTGGTGGTGGTGGTGGTGGTGGTGGGGTTTGGGGTTGTGGTGGTGGTGGTGGTGGTGGTGGTAGGTGGGGAGGTGGTGGTGGTGTTTGGTGGTGGTGGTGGTGGTGGTGGTGGTGGTCGTGGTGGTGATGGTGGGTCGTGGTGGTGGGTCGTGGCGGTGGTGGTGGCGGTGGTGGTGGTGGTGGTGGCGGAAAACACGCCCATCATCCTTCGGCGGGGTCACGCCGCAGGAGCGGTCGCTGCTGTCGGCCCGGGTGCTGCGGCAGCTGCGGGAGGGGCTGCCGCTGCTGCTGCCGGCGCGGGCCTGGCAGCGGGGCGTGACGGGCCTCTCCGCGTCGGCGGCCCGAGCCCCGCGGGACGGGTCGAGCGGCGCCAGCGCCAGGACGGCCTCCCGCGGGTCATCGACCGCGTCCGACCTCACACGGGCGAAGAGGGGTATACAATTATGCAATCAGCTTTTTTGTTTCACCGGGGGCGCCTGTCCCAGGGCGGTTGGAAAGCTTCTGCCCTGACGTGCCACAGGATGGCTAGGTCGGGCACGTCCTCCTACAGGCGGAGTTTGGAGGAAAAAATGGACCATTTTCAAAAAGTACCCCCCAAAAACAATCAAAAATTGTCAAAACGCCGTCCCCAGACTATTTTCTGACGAGTTTTGAGCACTCCTCCTGTAGAGGGGCACGCCCGACTTAACCGCAGGGGCAGAAACTTCCCAGCCGCCCCAGGACAGACGTCCCCGTCGGCGAACCAAGCAGTCTCAGGCCGCTCCTGGCCGGGGTGGAGACCTCGTGGGCCGCAGCCGGCGGACCCTGGCGCGCTGCGAGGTGGCCCCGTCCGCGAACTCGACGAAGGTGTTCCGGACAACTGGTGAACTTTTTTTACTCGGCGTTTCGACAGTGGGCGGCAGGGGGGGAGGGGAGGGGAGGGGGTCTGGCTCCTGACCTCTGCTCAGTGCGACTGTTTGCAGGAGGGCGTCCACCATCGGGGAGGCTCCACCCGCTCGAAACGGGCGCCGAGAACAGCCAAGATCTGCTCCATGGGGTTGGTTGGGGGGGAAGGGGGGGGGGGCGAGGGCCCGCGCCGATGGGCAGAACAGTGCAAAACAAAACGCCCTCCTGGCTGGAACTGCTCCAGGCCGTCGGCGGCAGGGCCGCTGGCCGCCGGGGCCCCCTCGGGCACCTCCGGCCCGCCCGCGGGCGCAGCGCTCGCCGAGGCGCGCGCCGCCGAGCCGGCCACACCCGCCGCCGCCGCGGAGGGGGGCGCCTCGGCGGGCGGCGCCTCCGCGCTGGCAGGGGCCGCCTGCCCGGTGGGCTGCCGAGGCCAGGCACGCGCGCCGCTGCGGGTGCCGGCAGCGCTCGGCAGCGGAGGGAAGTCCTCGTCCGGCACCCGGCTCCAGACGTCTCCGTCGTCCCACTCGAGCTGGTCGCTGCTGACGCGCCGCGCCCGGAACGTCGTGACCGTCGTCTTGCCCCGGACGGCGACGGTGAAGCTGGCGCCGCCGTCGTGGCGCACCGTCCAGACGTGCCCAGACTTCCAGAGGACACGGTCTCCATGGATCACCAGGCTTCCAGGCAGGCCCGCCTGCGTGCGCTTCCGAGTCACCCAGCGGCCCTCGAGGGATCCAACCCCGTTGCACGCCTGCTCGTCTAGGGTGGCATCTGCTGCCGCTGGAACCTGCAAGGTCGTAGCAGACGGTGGCATATCCCTCCAAGCCGAAGATTGGAAAACTACAAGTCTAAACCAGGGTGAACTCGAGAAGGGGCGGCGGGCCCGACACGATAAGGCTTGAGCCAAACTGGCTACGCAGGGGGTCTGGTTCACGACGCAGTGCTTGCACTCGGGGTCTCTTATTTGTGATTCAAGCCCTGCGTGCACTGGCGGGGTCTGTCAAGTAGTCTGGCATGAACAGAGTGAGCACACTGCCTTGCATGACCAACATTCACTTCCATGGATGCGCAGTGCTCAGCACGGCTCAGCATTGCATTGCATCGTGCACAAGCGCTTCGCACATGTTTGCATGACACACGTGTTTAACTAAATCGCTGCTTGGGGCCGGGGCCACGGACTGGGCTCGCAAGGGGCCACCAGGGGCTGCGAACACCAACTGGGCTCGCCGAGGACCGCGATCACCTATGGGGCCCGGCGCCCGCCAACCGAAACAGCCGCCTTAGCCGCCGCCCAACGGGAAAACGTCACCCGAACCCCACCAGCGCTCGGGGCGCGCGTGGCTTCGAGCGCCTCCTCGTCGACCCCCCCGTCTTCCCCGCCGGGGAACGACCACTGTGAAGCGGCCCTGGGACACACAAACAAATACACACAAATAAAAGGATTCCCTATATTTTCCTATATTTTCTGGGTTTTTGTCTTCCCCCCCACTGCCCATATTTTCCTATATTTTCTGGGGAATCGACGATTAATTGTGTCTGTGTGTTTTTTCCCTCCTGAGTCTTCCCCGCCGGGAACAGGAAACCAGCCCACCCCAGCATCTCCGCGAGGCTGGGACTTCTCCACATCCACAGCCTGGGAGCCGACGTCCTGGTGCCCCGGCGTGCGGTGGATATGCACATATGTCGGCCCCCATGGGGCCCGACTGTGTCCATATCCACCGCCTGCCGAGGTCTCCGAAAACTGATCCTCCAGGCGGTGGTCATGTACAGATTCCTGCCTCGGAATCTCTGCCAAGAGCTGGCGCAGAGCGCACGCGGGGACAGAGCCTGGCCCGTGCGCGGGCGCCCCGCGAGCACCCCGAACCTTGGAGCCCCGACGCGGTGCGGTGACAGACCGGGCGGTGACCTCGCAGTCCCCCAAGACCTCACCGCACGGTCCCTCGGCGCACGGTCCCGGGGCCTCAGGAGGCCCCGGCCGCCCGAGGCGCCCTCGGAGCACGACCCGAGCCCCAGAACCGTGCGCTGACCCCAGATCCCCGCCGACTCACCACGCGGTGTGGCCAGCACCCCGCCTGGGGGCCCCCGAAGAGCGCGCGCGAGGCATCAGAGCCTGCTCCGCGCGCGGTCGCCCCGCGAGCACCCCGAGCTGGCTGCCGGCGGGGACGGCGGGGCCGAGCGGGCCGCGCCCGCCCGCGGCGCGCGCGGCACGAAGGGCCCCCCCCGACGCCGCGGACGTCGGCGCGGGCTGCCTGCGGGCGCAGGTGCCCCGCAGAGGAGGGGCAACGACCGGGGGGGGACTGGCACGGGGGGGGGGGATGCACTGGCCTGGAGTCGGCGATGCATCGCCGACAGATCGGCGATGTAGGCCCCCGAGGGTGGATCCGCACCGGGCAGGCTGGGGCCATCGGGCCTCCATCGGCGATCTGTGGGCGATTGGGGGTCGATGCATCAGCCCCTGCTCTATCCCCCCCCCTATCGTTGCCCCTGCGTATACCATGCTGGCCACCCCACCGTTGCTTTGGGACCGATCCCTGCTCGACCGGGATGGCGGATGGCGGGGCGGGCGGCACACTGGCGGGCGTGTGCTGCCACGCGCACTGGCGCAGTTGGCGCGTACCCGCGCGCGCCGCTCGCCCAGCGATGGCAGACCGCATCTTCTGCATCGCGAAACCAAAGGCCTCGCAAGCGAGAAAGGTGTGTAATGCCTGGCCGCGACGCGCTATGCAGGACGCCAAGGACGTCGGAGAGAGGTGGCGACAACGACCCCCAACCAGACCAGCCCCAGACCCAAAAATACCCGAACAGGAGGAAAAGCAGGAGAAGAGCTTGCTCATGGCGCGGACGCTGACTGCTGTGCAAAGCTTAGCTACAGACAGAGCCTGCAGACAGTGCGGCAACCAACTACTACCTCCTTTACACCACAAGCGCCTGCCCTCACACTGCAACCGCTACATCACAACCCTCCTTCCGATGTGCCTGATCCTCCTCCGCATCATCATCATCATCATCATCATCATCATCATCATCATCATCATCATCATCATCATCATCATCATCATCATCATCATCATCATCATCTTATCATCATCATCATCATCATCATCATCATCATCATCATCATCATCATCATCATCATCATCTCATCATCATCATCATCATCATTATCATATCATCATCATCATCATCATCATCATCATCATCGTCATCATCATCATTATCATCATTATCATCATTCATTCATCGGCTTCCCACCACCACCACCAATTCATCAACATCTTCATCATCATCAGCTATCATCATCAGCAGCATCATCATCAGCAATCCCAAGCATCTTCATCATCATCATCATCTTCAGCATCTTCTTCAATCATCATCTCATAATTATCATCATCATCATCATCATCATTCATAATCATCATCTTCATCATTCAATCATCATCTTTCATCATAATCATCATAATCTCATCATCATCATCATCATCAATCATCATCATCTTAGTTATCACCATCACCATCACCATCACCATTCATCATCATCATCAGCATCAGCATCAGCATCAGCATCAGCATCATCATCATCATCATCATCATCGTCATCATCGCCATCATCATCAGCATCATCATCAATCATCATCATCATCATCATCATCATCATCATCAGCATCATCATCATCAGCACAATCAGATCATCATCATTATCATCATCAGCAGCATCACCATCATCATCAGCAGCAGCAGCATCAGCATCATAATCATCATCATCATCAGCATCATCGTCATCAAAATCATCGTCATCACCATTATCATCATCATCATAATCAGCATCATCATCAGCATCATCATCAGCATCAGCATCATCATCATCATCATCAGCAGCAGCATCATCATTATCATCCTCCGCCTCCTCCTCCTCGTCCTCCTCCTCCCCCTCCCCGTCCTCGTCCTCCTCCTCATCATTTGCATCATCGTCAGCATCATCATCATCATCATCATCATCATCATCATCGTCGTCGTCATCATCGTCATCGTCATCACCATCATCATCAGCATCATCGACATCGCCATCGTCATCGTAATCGTCACCGTCATCGTCCCCGTCATCGTCATCAGCATCATCGTCATCACCGTCATCAATCATCATCATCATCGTCATCATCATCATCATCATCATCATCATCACCAGCATCATCGTCATCATCATCATCACCATCGTCATCATCATCACCATCATCATCATCATCATCATCATCATCATCATCATCATCATCATCAGAATCATCGTCGTGATCATCCGCAGCACCACCGCAATCATCGTCATTACCATCCCCATCAGCAGCAGCAGCATCATCGTCATCATCGTCATCGTCATCATCATCACCACCATCTCCATCCTAACTCAGTTCACCCTCCTCCTCCTCCAGCAGCTCCAGCAACCGCACGCCTCCTCGAGGGCGTGCTCGCTCTTGAACTGCCTTGCCGGGTGGGGGGGGAAGCAGACACGGCATGCTACCGATCTCCTCGCTCCCTGCCTTCCGCTCCCTGCCACCGTTCCCCTGATGGCTCCTCCGCTCTCCCACCAGGCGGAACAGGCGGCCTATAGCCGAGAAGCTCTGACGAACTCGCTGGCTGAAGCTCCCTTCGCACAGAACTTGCAACAAGGATCGGACGGACCTGACAATCGTTGAGCAGGGCCCGACCGTCGCGGCATTCCTATAGTCCTACCACGAAATGTTCGTAGAACCCAAAAAATGTTCTAAGAACAAAAACAATGTTCTTAGAACATCAACCATGTGCGTCAAAACAAGACGGCCTCCGCCAGAAATGCTCTAAGAACATTCCGTGGGAACCACAGAAGGTCCTTAGAACATTGCTCGGTAGGGCTATAGGCGAGCCAGGACGCTTCGCCACTGCTTGACCTCGGGACCTCGAGGGGCACGGACCCCGCCGAGCTCCCTTCGCTGACTGAAGCTCCCTTCGCACAGAGCTTACAAGAAGTCGGGGATGGACAGACCACCCTTCAGAAAAACGCGGTTCGGTGAAAACGACCCGAGGCCCAAACCTGGCGGGCGCACGCCTGGAAAATGACGGCCACGGCGCCCTCTCGAGAACCGAAGACGGACAATTCACCAATCGACGTGTCACTGTTGGGGGTTCTGCCCACCCCCGACCCTATTTTTGGGGGGAATCCACGATGGATTGTGTCAGGGACTGTGGAGCCCCGTGCCTCTCCCCTCCTCCTCCACCCTACTCCTCCCTCCTCCTCCTCCTCCTCCCCCTACTCCTCCTCCTATCCTCTCCTTCATCCATCCCTTTTCCACATCCTCCTCCTCCTCCTCCTCCTCCTCCTCCTCCTCCTCCTCCTCCTCCTCCTCCTCCTCCTCCTCCTCCTCCTCCACCTTCTCGGGACTGACCCTCGGGACCCCGAGGGGGGCACGGACCCCGCCCAGCTCAGGGACCTGGCCGAGCCGCCGAGGCCGGGAGGGCCCCCGGGGGCCGAGGAGGGAGCGCCCGCCGCGCACGTCGGGGGTTGGCCTGAAGTCGGGCCCGTCCCCCCACATAGGAACAAGGAAAGGCGACAGCAACACCAACAGGGCGAGGAGATGCGCGGAGGCAAAGGGGGTCTCCCTGGTGGTGTGGTCCCCCCCTCTCGCTCGAGACATCCCCCGTCTCCCGCTCGGGGAGGCATTGTGGACCTCCTCGCCGGAGGTGGGCCCCATGGTGGTGTTGGTGTCGCCTCTTCTCCCTCCGACTACCGGGGGATTTTCGACGAACAATGAAATGCATCCAAGTGCGACCCTACCTAGGAGGTGGAGGATCTAGGAAAGCAACATCTAGCATCTATATGAAGCTAGGCTAAGCTAAGATCAAGCTAAGCTCAGATGAAATAAGATAAGCTAAGATGAGATAAGCAACG